TTATTTTGTGTCAAAATTTGAATGAAGCTCTTTCTTTTGAATTCGTAACTTTGCTTGTTTTCAAAAAACCACTATTGGTTAGATTTTGGATTTGAGTTTATTTGACTTAGGCGATCGATTTTGGATTCATCACATGGCTGGAGAGTATGTCCCGAGAAATTTCTGAAGTGTGCATGCGGTTACACCGTATTTTATTCATTTTCTGCATTCATACAAGTCTAACGAGACTACGTACACATGCGTGTGTAGTTTTGTATCTGCCACGATTTTCCTACTTTACTGTTAGGCAAGTTGAGAAGCTGAAATTTTGGGAACTTGATCCGACCCTGTTACTGTACGGAATCATCAGCTTTTTTACCTCACACTATCTAACTGGGCCGACGAAGACTAAATTTACATGCATCTTCAAAATTTGCAGATTTTGCGATCAGTGCATCGCTTCATCTGTGCGTACAAATGTGACTGAAGCAGTAAACTAATACTGAACCGAGGCTGGAACGCACCAGGCTCCCTGGTGCGGTCATGCGTTTTTGCACTAAACTCGCAGATTGCTACTAGCAGGAATGATCCCTACGTTGTAGCCTCACACTTGGGCTCATATTGGCCGTGCTTTGATCCTTTCCGGCACGCAGGAGGAAGGGCGTCAGTTAGGATAAAGGTGGTGCATTATAGAGCCGTGCGGACATCCAGGTGCATGGTTACCGCTTTTTTGCATGAAGTCCGGTCTTTTTTTTGGCAAATGCTCGTTCTGTGGGAGATTGACAAATGCAAATTTTTTGAAAAAATGCAAATTTCCAGTTCACTAAAAAGTGGAAGTATTATTCGAGCGGTCGTTTGTCAAAAAATCCATGTTCATTTGCATATACAATCGCGGTGCAGGTCCGAGTTGCGAACAGTTTTTGGGTTGAGGAGCTGCTTGAGGCTGTGGTTGGAGGGCTTGACAGCTGAGTTTAAAATCGTTAGCTCGCACGTGCATAGAGAATATCCCTGCAAAGTTTCAGCTTTTTACCTTGCCTGGTTCGCGAAATC